CAGCGGATAATTCTCGGGGGCGGCAGTAGGATCCGGGGAAGCCATGATTTTAAATTTATTGTACCGAAAGGACATAAAGATATTTTTAGCTTTTCTTTTTTTCCCAGGACAATAACTGAATGGAACAAACTTCCAGAAGAAACTGTTTCCAGCCAATCCCTCTGTATTTTTAAAAGCAAACTAATTTAGTTTTATTTTTATCAGTAGTTTTTAATAGTTTTTAATAGTTTAGTATAGTTTTATTCATTATTATCTTAGAGTTGGCGTGATGTCCCAAACGATTTTGCCGACATAACGATATTTAGATTTAGATTTAGATTTAGATTTAGGATCCAGGATAATACAGAGCCAGGAGCCTAAGAGCGCGGGAGAAAAATTGACCAGGAAATAAAAGCGAGGGGAGACCTTCCCATGTTTTCCCCGTGTGTGATTTAACCCGCTCCGGTGCCCACCATCTGAACTCCGCGCTCTTGTTCCTCGTTCTTTGCTCCTAAACCACACAGAAACGCTTGCTACACAGGCTAGGAACAGGCTAGCTCCGGGGTAATAGGCAGTCCTGATACAGCTAAAATTAAAACAAAAGACGGCAAAGACAAAGAGGTCATTAAAAAAGGGTTACAAGACCTTATAATGGACAAAACAAACTTGCGCAGCTGTCACGATTTGGCGTCCGCGAATGCTTTATTCCACTATTACTTTTCTTCTTAAGTTTTACTACCATAAGCGAGGCTTTATTAACTGTTTATTTTCGGACATGGGTGATAAGATGATACGAATGGATTTGAAAGAAATGTCGTCTGTACATAGAGTAACGGTAAATAGCAGAGGGCCAAGGATTAAGCCTTGAGAGTACTAATGACAGAAAGTGACTCCTACTGACGTAAGAGATGGTTAATTTTTTTTTCGGACACGGATGAAGCGAGGGTGATGAAGGAAATAAAGTTGTCATGTTATAAATGCCACTTTGAGTTTTTTTACCACTGTGGCAAATGATAAAGCAAGACACCTTCCCGTTCCTTTTGATATCACTTACTTCTCTTTCACACCCACCATAACAGGCAGACCTCACAAACGGGACGAGGTTCCATTCGCCATTTGCACATCTCCCATAATACACCTTATTTGCCCCCCAAACATTTTGTATACGCATTGAATTCAACTTCTCTTGGACGAAAATAATACCCGAGAGAAATTAAAAACAAAAGTTAGGCACAATTTTGGGGGGCAAACATAGTGTATTCCAAGAGATGTGTAAATGGGGAATGCTGTTTTCGAAAAATGGAGTCTTTATACAAGCGTTACGTTTACTAAATAGACCGCATTCGTATTCTTGATAGGTGACTGCAACTAGCCTGCAGCCGAAGCTAATGCAAAAATGCAAAGTAATAAGATGCATGAACCTCGATTGTAAGCTAGTTCCAGTCGATAACCGCGATTAAGAATGAGCAGGTGTAGGATTCAAGCCCAACGTCTCAGCATCGGTGGCTCATGGCTGAGAGCATCTGAGCTGAAGCAAAGATTTTTTGTGCACACCCAGCAGGATGTCATTCCTTGTCCCGAATTGATGGTCCAATCGTGTTTGAACCCGAGTCACCCGATGAACGATCACGTCACCTACAACTGTGCTGGAAGAGTAGTGCGCGGTTCTCCCTCTATCCTACTTTTGCCCCATTCACCCGTATTGAAATGGATAATCCATCTTCAAAATCTGTCAAAATTGACGGATAAAAAGGTGGACAAAGTCGGGCGGATTGTTCATCCAAAATGAAAACCGTTCCATTTTTAAATTAAGGCGCATTTTCTCTCTGACGCGAATTCTCCAATGGGTAACCATTCTTAGATGGATAATCCGTCTCTAATGTGAAAACGGCCGATGACTGTTCTCTTAACAGGGCTTTCGAGAGTGTTTGCGAATATTTTAACGTCATTTCAGGGTGTTAACGAACATTAACTCAATAATGAACTCAAGAAACCATACTGAGGAAAAACCAAGGTACACGCAGCCACTATAAAACTCACACCGTAAATACACCACTTCCCTATTCTATTTGATACAAACTGGTTCCTGATCTCTAATGAGAATACGAATACAATCTGGATTAGGCCTCGGCCAAACGTCGAACTTTTCATGAGACGAACCAAACTCTGATTTCGGTCGACTTAAGTTAAGATTGTATGTTCGGTCAGATATCGAGCCTAGGATGTGTCGAACCCCTCGACGGAATCAGACGGAGAAGCAATTTAATAAATTTTAACCCGAAAGAGGCTAATAAACATTATTATAAATTTATATTTTTAATTTATTAGTTTAGTTCGCTGAATGTTAGTACTGGAGACGATCGTTTATACGTTCTATCCGTCTGCTTCAGATGGACAATCCAAACTCATTCAGACAAACTTAACTGAGCCAGACGTTGAACTTTTCATGAACTTAACTGACTAAGTTTGTTTCGTCTCATGAAAAGTTCAACGTTTGGCCTAGGCCTTACAAAAAAGAATTCAATGCTAGGCTTTTTTTACTTTTGAAAACTTTATTTTATTGTATTTAAAATGTAACTTTATCATTTTAGATAACCAAACTTGACGCATTTGACGCTAAAGGTAGTTTGCACTGTTCTCTATTGCTTGTCTGTGATAAATGTTCATTGCTGATTTAAAAAAAAAGATACAGTCGATTCACAACAGAATCGCTCTTGGCTTAACGCTAACTAAACTTATCAAACTCTAAAACTACTGGTAACTCATGTTGTATTAACCTTGGCCTCACTGGACCAGATGGTGTACAAGTCAATCATCAGCTACAATAATTATCAAACTCTAAAACTACTAGTAACTCACGTTGTATTAACCTTAGCCTCACTGGACCAGATGGCGTACAAGTCATAATCATCAGTTGCAATATTTATCAAACTCTAAAACTACTAGTAACTCACGTTGTATTAACCTTAGCCTCACTGGACCAGATGACGTACAAGTCACAATCATCAGTTACAATATTTATCAAACTCTAAAACTACTAGTAACTCATGTTGTATTAACCTTGGTCACACTGGACCAGATGGTGTACAACTCAACTTGAGAGTCAATGTATTTATCAAGAAAGTACTAATTGTGGACACTATTTTTACGTCTCCCACTGGATACAGGACCACCATTTTACGTGATCATCCGAGCCACGCGAAGGTTCAGCCGCTTGCAGTGCAGAGAGACTACCTTCATTTTTCAGTTATTTTTGAAAGACCCTGAGTAATGGTCCAGCCACGGGAATCGAACCCGCGACCTCTCACTCTGCAGTCATGCGCTCTACCGACTGAGCTAATCCCGCTTGTTCAATCTGAGACTCAAAACTGTAAAATTTCAAAATATGTCCATAGAAATACTTCCTTACAGAGTTGACGAGTGCCAGCCGCTTGATGCTCTCAAATCAAGCACTACACTGCAGTATTATCTTACCGCTTTAGGCCCGTTTATATGACGAAAAGTTCTCCCGAAAAAGAAGGTCACCCCCCAGCTGAGTCAACGGAAAAAATAGTTGACTTCTTTGTCCGAGCCAACTGTACTCGCACATACTTTGATTGCCTCGCCTTGACTGAGTTGACCCAGCTGGACGAGTCAAAGTGTTTGTATGGAGAAACGTTGGATCAGCGAGGAAGGTGACCCTACCTTCACAAAAGGATGAACCGGCGGCTAGGCGAGTCACCTTTCTAGCCAAGCCAACTTTTTTTTCACATTTATAGGGTTCGCCACGTTTTTTAACCCTTTAAACCATAAGATTAACATTTGAATTCTCATTAGTTGCCCCTAGTCATTCCCTAGAGAAGTAGTGGGGAGAAGTTGATAAAATATCAGGCAAATTCGTCTTGTGTGATCATGTCCGTAATTCTCATGACCACTCTGTTTTATAATGCATTGATATTACAAGGAGAAATTAGATGCTGATCACTCTTAGGGCTTAAAGGGTTAAGGGAACGTGGGTAGCTCGGGTAGGCGGCAGATTGACCGGGACAACTTTTCTCCATATAAATGGACTTAAAAAAGCTGAATGGAATTGTGTTACATCGTGCAGCAAGGTAAGTTGAATGGACCATGGGAGACTTTACGAGACTGAGCAACAGAGTGCAATTTTCAACTAAGTTATGTCCAAACTACGCTGTATAAAATTTGCACTGTCAGTTTTAGTAAACAATTTTTTTAATGCGTGCGTCCCGATCGGCCTTCGAAAGCTAAATCTTAAAGCGATTTGTTTTTAACTAATTTGACTTGTTCCAGTCTTTCGAAAGTCAAAGCGCTAAAAACGAGGTTTTGCCATTTTCAACTGCACGCGAGACACCCATGAAGGTATCTGATAACCGTAACGCTATACAGAGTGGTGTGAACATAACGGACTTCAGGCTGGGCTTCCACAAGAAAAAATAGCCTACATTACTTGCACATGAGACCCCCCTGAAGGTATCTGGTAACCTTAACGCTTTACAGAGTAGTGTGAACATAACGGACTTCAGGCTGAGCTTCCACAAGAAAATATCCCGATATCAAAGGAAACGTGTGTGATGTGGCTTGAAACAAAATGATTTTCTGTGACCTTTAAATGATCATCACGCGTGGCCGTAATTTAAGGCAGTAATTAGATTAATTTAGCTGGATTTGTGACTAACCATAAAATGAATGATAACTTAACGAAAGCGATATAGCGATCGGAGAACTGTATTGAAACTAGAACGGTTACGAAACACTTCAGCGGGACCGAAGGAAAGTCGTTTTAATTTGCAAACAGAGAAAACATAAAATCGGTCCAAACTTGAAACAAACATTTGTAGATTGACCATTTTGCATTTTTAATTAGAATCTTTATTTTTAAGGGTCGGTTGTCACGGTGACTTCAAGATTAACGAAAATAATAATGAAAAATTAAACCACATTTCTATTGTAGATCACTTTTCATTTGATACTGACATGTGTTCCTGCGGACTGGAAAGCATATAAATCTTACCTGTATTCTTCTAATGAATTAAAACCTTCTGGCACCCACTCTCTTTTCCATAGAAACTTACATCGAGTTCAAGTAAGGATAATGATCTGCTTTCTATTAAAATTTTGCTAAAGTCATATAAACGACTTTCACCGGTAGCACAATGGTTGTACACTTTTAATCTCAGAGTAGTTAATGTGGTGTTTGCCATCAAGACGCTGGAAAGGCCTGTTAACCAGTAATCACTCACTTCTTTGCTACTGTTGAGCGTCAGATTGAATGTGGTTACTGATGTGTTATCTTTCAAACTTCTAAACACTCCAAAGGTGTGCAGAAACAAGGGTATATCCGATTCTCCATCACCACACTCATTTATTGTGACATTTAACGTAGTTATTGACGTGTTCATTGACAGTGCATAATCCAACGTGACCGGCAAACCAATATAATCTGTTTGATATGCTGCCACAGTTATTGTTAATGTCACTGTAGTTACTGACGAGTTTAATGACAGACCTCGTGTAAGACTATTCAACGCACTTGAAAAACCCGTATCATTAAGGTCGTTAATAAAAATTGCGACACATAATGTATTTAATGACCTTGTTGACATCAAGCCGTAAGAAAGGTCACTAAGACAGTCATAAATGTCTGCTTTACCCATGTTAAATGTGAGACTAAGTTTTTTAAGTGACGTACATTTTATCAAACAGTCACCTACAACCTTATCCCAAAATGAACACATGCTATCACTATGGATTGCAACAGAAAGGGTAGATAATGATTTGATGGCCACTAGCACGTTACTCAGTTTAGTCGGATTCAAACAATTCTCCTGATTCTCCTCAACATAGTCAAGGCTGCTGAGTGTAGGACTCAACCAATCCTTCTGATTCCACTCGTCCTCGCCGTTTATTTCAAGACTGAGTGTAGTTAAAGATGCCATTTTGATCAAACGCTCACCCAGTTTGCATTCCCATCCTTCTTTCATGTTACTGAAGTTGAATGTGAGACTAAGAGATGTTAAAGAACTGCTTTGCAATAAACTGTTCCCGAGGTTTTCTCCCAAATCTGCATCCACGACGCAGCTGTTGACTGTAAGATCAAGCGTGGTCAGAGATGGATTTTCTGCCAAAGCATCACCTAGATAACGTGTCCACTCCTTGGTAACATTACTATCGTTATTGATTGTAAGACGGACGTTTTGTTTTCTTCTCTCCTTGACGTTAGTAAAAAAGACTGTCAATGCCGCAGGAATATCGGTAGTGGTAACAAGAACATCGTTCGACTCATCTGGGCCTGTACGCACATCATGTACATTTAACTGAACGCGACTGTTTTTTGAAAGGCTGGAAGGAACATTACCTCCGTCTGTTATCAACTCGCCCCATATATTGATGGACAGGGAAGATAGCGTCTTGTTTTCTTCCAGACATCTTGCAATGGAATTAGAAACTTCACTTGTCAAATTTCCACGCATGTTTAAGGTGAGAACAGTAATGGAGGAAGGTGCCAAGACTTCACAAAGAGCTTCTGCCGCTTCGCATTTCATCTCACCCCAGACGTTAACAGTTAAGTGTTGCTTTACATTTAACCCTTTCCTAACCAGAACAGGACGAAAATTATTATTTGCTACGTTGTTAAAGGTATTTGGATAAAAAGAACAGCAAACTGGGGACTTTTTCGCCACGCGAACATTTTCCACAACAGAATACCAGTTACCAGGGAGCTCACCGTGGACATGCAGTCTTAAATAATTTAAAGAACTATTTTCCATAAGCCCTTTTTCCAGGAAACTGGCACTAGAGGAACTCAGCGGTCCATCAAGATGTAGATCCAGAGATTTTAAAACTGTTTGTCTTGCAAGTGCTTGACTGACAGCAGCGACTAACAAATCCAGCACACATCCAACAGGACAAAGAGAAAGAGAATTGAAGGATTTATTTGACAAAAAATGTTGTAAGCCTCGTGTCGCAGTGTACTTCATTGAGCCCCATAGCACGAGATTAACAGACGTCAGCGTTGTCAATCCAGTTTCGAACGCATTGAAGAAACTCTCGTTATAAGCATATCCAGGCAAAGCAAACGTTACTTTTGTCAGAGTTCGACATGAAGCCAACCCACGGCCAATTTGAACCAGCAGCTCATATTTTTCAAGATATACATGAGATACGTATTTAAGAGTAAACTCTGATAAGCTCTTGCTTGCAGAAAACCATTTGCAAAGACGATCTGCATCAGATGACGTCAAAGATCCCAGATCATGAACACGAAAACTTACGATTGTCAGCTGCGGGTAGGATTCCATATAATCTATTATGTCAATTGCACTTCCCTTCAAGCCAATATAAGCATAGAGTTCAACAGGTGTCCTTAAATTTGAAAAGCTTCTGCAAGCCACTAAAACCTGAAAAAAAGACGCATTGTAATTGTCTATTAGCTCGGAAGTGATGACCTTTGGAAAAGGTATAATGTTACAAAGAGTAACTGCCATTTGTTCTGCATGTCCAGTCTCATTAAAGCTTTCAATAAAGAAAGTAGCAGTCTTCTCATTGCAACGCTTGTTCCAATTCCAGTCGTATGACTTCTTTAACTCCTCTCCAATCTCGGTGAACAGAACTGTAGCTTTCTCGCCCAGCATACCAGAAACAAAAATAAACACTTGTCGATATTTCGTTACAATGTCATTAAAGCTTATGTTGATGTGCTTAAATAAATTGCACTTTTGGTTTCGTAGCTTCTGTGCAATATACGCGGCAGCCACGTACTCTTGGAAGGTCTTGTGAAGAAAGCAGTACTCATGTTGAGGATTTAGCCTCTTTAGACTTTCTTCCATGTAAAGAAGGTCTAGCTCACGAGCTTTCAGTCCGGGGTATTTCCTTTCAAACTCATCTAATTCAGTTTCGAAGAAACCATAACGATCACTCAGCAGGCATAACCAAGCTAGCTCTCCGAGTGCAAGAATCTCCATTTCAAACGTTTTCTCTAGGACACTGTCATCTTTAGGGGCCGGCAAGTTGCGTTTGCCGCAGTAGCGTCTTAAAAGACATCGCACAATGACTTGGTAAAGTTCCGTCCGGGAAGTCGGCAATTTTCCCTTGTAGTCCTCATAAACAACACAAAGGAGAAGTAAATTTAACGGGTTACTTCGAAGTGCATGTAAAAAGGTGTTCTGTTGCATTTCTTCAATAAGCTTCTCCCCCTTTGCTGATTGTTTAATGGTTTCAAAGTGTCTTCTGATGTAAGCAATAGAGTCACTTTCCGTGTACCCTTTGATTTCTAAGTGAATGTCAAAGACAACGCTTTTCCGTACTTCGATTCCTCTTTCTTGTCGTGTAGTAGCCAAGACAAAGCAAAACGGTAAAATTCTTCTATGAAGTAGCTCATCTACATGGTGCCGCGATTGTTCAGGTAGCTCATCCAATCCATCCAAAATGATTAACATCAGTCTCTCCTGTTTATGAATGTCCTTCATGAAGTGCAAAAGCTTCTCCACAGACTTCTCCATATCCATATCCTTGGGCAAAAGTTGTTCACTGATAGCTTCCATTATATCTCCATTAATGTCACGACATTTGAGAAGAAACACAAATTCGAACTTGGGAAAGGAGCACTCCGATGGGATATTTCCATGCGCCCAGTCATAAGCAAGTTTGAGGCAAAACGTGGTTTTACCGATTCCTGGACTTCCCTCTACTATCGTCATAACATCCTCACCTATATCAGGAACTTTGAAGATGTCAAACACATTCACCTCGTCGTTTTCCTTCTCGTCGTTTTCCTCCTCGTCGCTTTCCTCCTCGTCGCTTTCCTCCTCGTCGCTTTCCTCCTCG